GAGGCGGACGTCGGGCAGGTCGGTTGGCGATTCGAGGAGATGGTTTGTTGGATTGACGATGAGGACGACGCAAGATGATGCTGTTGCTGGGCTGGTGGCCTGCTCCGCGACGGGAGGAGGCGTACGGGACAACGCGAGATGATGTTGTTGCTGGGTTGGTGGCCTGCTCCGCGACGGGAGGAGGCGTACGGGACGTCACGGCGCTGACCGCGATGGGAAGGAGGCGAATGGCGAGGTGGAGGGAGACGTGGCGGTGGAGGCGAGGTGGACGGCGACGCGGTGGACGGAGTCGCGGTGGACGATGTAGGTCTGCTTGTTGGCTATGGCGGTGGTGAGAGTGTAGAGGAAGAGGAGTGAAAAGAGGGAAATTGTTGAGAGAGGGATTACTACTACTGCTTCTTCTTCTTCCTGGATTTGGGAAGTAATTTTTTTAGATTCAAGATGTGAGAATGGAGATGAATCTGGACATAAAGGGAAGGTTAAGTGGGTCTCGGTTAGGGGTGGTTAGTCGGATAATCGCGGTTACTCACCGTCGGTTACTCGGTCAACCGACCCCTTCCTTTTCCCAACCGATCACCGACCGTCAAGATAACCGGCCGATTTTCGGTTAGCCGGTAACCGACGATTTTTGGTTAAAATCGGCGGTTACGCGCTAACCATAAACCGAAATGCCAGCCCTAATTCTGGCTTGCCTCTGCCACACAAGGTTTGCCTCTCAATTAATTCTCCTCAATCTCTTTTCCACCTCCCTCCGATTCTCAGCTTGGTATTTGAGCAATTCGCTTTCGAATTTTCCTCTAGAAACCCTTTGGGCTTCACCAATAGTGAAGCCATCACTTTAGCAGTCAAGGAGATGGTGAGATATAGACTGTTCCTCGGGACTTTTGCCGGCACGTTTGTGTCCGTGGACAAGATAATAGCCGCATTGGGAGGTCACAGCAGGCAAGTAAATGTCTCTAATTCTCTCTGTAGCTCTCACAGTTGGTCCTGTTTCTGCTTCCCGAGGCTGGAATTTGATTTAGGACTGGAAAATGGAGAGATCTTTCCCCTTCCCAAATCCAATTTAGTTTGACTGGGAAGTTTCAACAATGGAAATGGCAGCGGCGGCGGGGTATTGGTATTGGGATTAGAAGAAATTAGGATTTTTTATTTATTTAAATAAAAGTGACAATGAGGTGGAAATGAGATGGCAATTTTAAAAAATTTATTTTTATTATTTTTAAATTGCCACATCACACATTTAACGGTCAAATTTTAGAGTTGACCGCCACGTAAGCAAAAGTTAATATAGTTGGGCGGAGAGTGACCAAACGTGAACGGTTTCTGTAAACTGAAGTACCACCAATGGATTTAAATATTTCGAGTGACCAAACTTGAACGTTTTTTGTAATCTCAGTGACCAACCATGCAATTCCATATAGGAATAATAGAACCACAAGTGAATAGGGTTGGATATTTGGTTTTACCCAAAACCGGACGTATAACCTAGATCCATCTTCTGGCTTAGATTTTTTTTGTTAAATACCGTCCGGAACCGGATCGAAACCGGATAAGAGAGCCTAACACCCAAAACTTAACCAACTTCTCACCCTTTGAGGCCTCAGACCACTCAAATCCCCACAAGCTCAATCTAAAATCAAAACCGAATTGGGACCGAACCGGGTCAAGACCGGACTGTATCCAATCTAATCTTTGGTCCTTATATTCCTGACAAAACCGGACTGGGACCGGATCAATTAGGGCCAATTTAACCGGACCAGACCGTATAGCCACCCCTACAACTGAAGATGACCTAAAGGTTGGTCTGCTTATGTGTTCGATTGATATTGCTAGTGACAATATGTGATATATACTTTGTGTGGTTTATAATGAGTCGACCGAGCTTTTTATAGGTTGCTCGAATTCAACTAAAAAATGCTTACTCCAATATGAATTGTGGTTGTATTTTATATGACAGATGAAATTGATTGGGATATCGAACGATCCTTACTGTAATTGTTAATGTCAATCAACTTGGTACACAAGTTGAAGGTTTTGTAATTTCTAATAATCAATGGTTGACATGTGCGGGTTTTACTCGCTTTTGAAAGGTGCAGATTTGGTTGGGTTTGAGTTTTGCCAAAATTCAACCCACTTACCACCCGACCGACACCCTAAAAGCAAAACGATGTCATTTTGGATATAACATAAACAATATGGATAATTTGTAGATGTTATTGTCTTTATGTCAGTATAAACCTAATAATTTAGATACCTTAGATGTTATTAGTCTTTACAGAGATATATTTGTAGAGAAAATTTCGATAATATTATGATATGAGTGCTCGAAAATTAATGTACAGTTATGTTCGTAAACTCATGGGTATCCCATACACACATGAACACCCTGTCGGATTCCGATGTTGCTACCTCAACAGTCGTCGTCGCCGCCAATTTCGACGTTGCTCCTTCATTTCTTTAACCCGACATCGCCCGTGGTAGAAACGCCGATCGCCACGCCTTCTACTCGTCGTGCGTTGTCAACGAAGAAATCCGGTGAACCCACGCTTGCCCGGGGTCGCGATTGAGGTGGGTCTCTGTCTTTTCGTCCGTTGCTATCGTTGTCTCCATCTCTGGTGACGAGTCCTCCATCCTCCAGCAGCTCCGCCCTCGATTTTGTTCCTCCTCCGCCCAGCGTCGCGACGGAAGTTGCAGCTAACCGTCGCGTTCCTCGCGCGATTCGGAGCTCCTGCGATGGCTTCTTCTTCCTGGTCGTCAGCACCTCGACTCGAGCCTTGAAGCGGAGAGTGCCTGGGGATGACAATCCAGCCACCGAGTGCAGCGAGAGGGTCAGCGCTGGTTCGCTGGGTGCGTGCTCCTTGTCGGCGTAACCGCCGCGGCGCGCTGTTCGAGTCGTCGTCCGCTAGCACACGGGTCGGCCTCGGCCGACGTTGGTGGTCGCTCGCGGTCGGTGGCTCGAGTCACCGCCTCTGCTTGCGCGGTCGGCGACTCCTCGGGGATCCAACGACGTCCGATGCGGCGGGCCTGTTCCCGCAGTTCTGCCTATGACAGGCCCGAGAGCCTTGAAGAGCTCATTGTCGAACCAGTTGTAGAACTCGTCCCCGGTTGAGAGTTGTGATGAACTCAATTCTTGAACCGGGCTCTGATACCAAATGTTAGAAACAAGTTTCTAACGGATTTGATATTTGGGAATTAGGGTTTATTCTAACAGAATTAGCGATTGAGGTTGTGATTTGGGAAAAGTAGAGAAAGATAGAGAATCGGCCTAGGTCTTTAGAGGGATTGAGATCGAGAATTGAGAGGATTGGGATATGAATTTAGGGAGATAATTCTTTATTAACTTCTGCTTCCTTCTGAATGGAAACCCAAAGTACATATATATAGGAAATACAGGACAACTCTAATAATAAATCTAATTCTATTAAATGACTACTAAACATATTAATAATTACCATAATATTAATAAAAATAATTAATAGAGAAACCCTACAGACATCGGTTTCTAACATTTTAGCTATAATAAAGTTGTAAATAAGTGAAAACCTCAATTATTTCTCTAATAATTTAACTACATTTTATCATATTATGGTTTCTTTCTTGGTCTTTTAATGAAAATAACAAATATTTCTAATGCTTTTCACATAAATTATATACTCATTGGATTGACCTGGCCCGACCCACACCCTATGATAAATTATCCAACCTGAACCCCACCTGCCGCGGAACGAGTATGGGTATTAAAATATATACCCGAACCTACCATTGTCATTCCTACTCCCAAGGCCATAGTCCGATATGGTTTTATCGCCATGCATTACCCGTTTCACCGCATGGAAATGGGGCGACAAGATTAATGGTTATAAAAACGTGGGCCTGTGCTGTGCATCGTTTAATTTCTTTGTTGAGGTAAATGAGACTGAGCTTTGGGGTCGCAGCTAGAAAGGCAAAGCACGTGGTATTTCAGTTTCATACCCACACGTAAGTTGTCGGCAATTGGTCAAGTTGGTACTATTTCGGCATAAATATACATTGTCCTCCGCGCAGCATGCGATGGAGACAGCCAAACGAAACGATTAGCATCAATGCTGCCAGCCATGCAATTGGTTCGTTCATATCTACATCGCAATTCGCAACCAACATGGCGGACAGAGACAAACATTTTGTTAGTCGGCCAGCGAAATGCCCAAACAAAGTCCATCAGAATCTGGTCTAGCTGTCATCAAATATGCACTTTCCCCATCTTGCCTGCGTGTGCGGTATGGTATTATCTTCAATTGGAGCCGTGGCCCTAGAGATGTCCAAAAACAAGAGGTGGACTAGAGCTTGCCCTTCAAATTCAATCAACCTGGTGTTGTTTCTCTATATAGGTGTGTCGAACAACGCCCTTCAGAGTGAATGTCGACACGAGTAAAAACACTATTCTCACTTGGAATATGGCCCTCGGGTCGAGATTATTGCTTGCTCAATGTGCTTAGCCAAGTTGCCCTACCCAAGATTGGTATGGCTGAGGCTAGACCTCTATGAAGTGGTAGGCGACATCATCGTCAAATAAGAGCTCTACATGAAGTCTGGTGTGAATGTGTGATTCCCGTTGATACTGAAACCTCCACAGGAATGTCAATGGGTCGAACTGGGTCAGACTTTTTCGAAATCCAAAGTCAATCCAGTTGGGGCATCCTCCTACAGAATTCGGCAAAATACTCACTGCATATGCAAGAGAACCCAACCTAGCGGGTACCTATCATGCATTTGGACAAATGAACCAGGGCATCCATAAACCCCTAGCATGCATTTGGACCAATGAGTCCTACCATTTGCAAAATTCGTATTGGGCCAAGCAGCACAGAGAAAGCGTTTCTGGATCAAAATTGCCATTTGGTCCACCATGAAGAGAGCTGTTAGTGCCCTTTTTCAAGAGGGCCACCTTTGTCATGCATACACACAACCTGCCCTTATCTAGAGGCCTGGTGAACCAACATGGAAATCTTGATGCCCTAGTTAAATCAAACACACGCAAAAACAGGACACTAGTTGGAGCAGTTGAAGATTATATCTGCCAAATCAAAATTCTGAATACAACAGTTTCTGCATAGTCTCAAATCTTCACTTATAAATCTAAGATATCCTCATTACACATGAAAGAGCACCAGCCCTCAAGCAAACGTCTAAAGCAGATCACAGGATCCCCATCATCCGACGGGCTTTGCATTCATTAACACCACGAAAGAGGCTTTTTATTCAAAAATAGTAGCCATGCCCCTGCAGTTGTAGAGAAACTTAAAATGGGGGAGGGGGCATCGCAGCTGCACTCACGCACAGCACCTAATTAAGGCAAGAGTAAGCCAGTGCCTTCTCCTCGCTCAACTCCTCTGCGGTCAGATCCAGCTTCTTCCTCGAGAATTCGTCAATTGGAAGTCCTGAGTATGGCAAAAAGCACTTATTATTAGTTATCACTCATGGCAGGAACAGAAAGAAATAGCAAATTTGACCATACTATCAAGATTCAAGACATTTCATATACGGAGAAGTTCCATGAACTCTGACATTGTCTCCCTATAGTGTCACACAAGTTTGATATATATATATATATGGATGGATCAATATGAATTGAACCAGGTCCAGTTGATCAAGCCAACCTTCCAATCAAATACACTTCCAACTTCTAACGTCACATTTCCAACCATACCAATTAAAGCTCATCCTTTTAGTCATACAATCTTCACACAACCTATAACCTTTGATAAGAAAAGAAGGGAAGCTTACCCTGCACAATCTTCCATTCCCCATTCTGACATGTAACAGGGAAGGAATAGATGAGCCCAGCAGGGACATTGTATGAACCATCAGAGTACACACCCATGGAAACCCAGGTACCCTGCAGGCAAGTCCAAGCAGGATTTAGGAAACCAAAACTATGATTCAACAGGGAATCCTATCAACGATGAGATCAATTAAAGCATTTGTCAAACCTCGGTGGTTCCAAGAACCCAGTCACGGATGTGGTCACAAGCTGAGCTGGCAGCAGATAGAGCACTCGAGAGCTTCCTAGCCTTGATGATTGCAGCACCACGTTGTTGGACAGTGGTGATGAACTCAGCATTCAGCCTTCAACCAAAAAAAAAACCACTAATCATCAAGAGCTAGCTCTTTAACATACACAAGAAAAAAGCAACAATGAACAAAGAAGAGGAGGTGAGAATTACCACACATCATCCTTGACAAGCTCTCGGACAGGCTTATCACCAGATGGAGTGGCAACAGTAGCATGGTTGACATCAGGATACTGACTAGATGAGTGATTCCCCCAAATGATCACATTCTTCACATCACAAACTGGAACACTCAGTCTCTCCGAGATCTGACCAAGTGCCCTGTTATGGTCCAGCCTAGTCAAGCAAGTAATGTTCTTCTCAGGGATAGATGGTGCGAATTCCTTCAGGATCAAAGCATTAGTGTTTGCTGGGTTAGCAACAACCAGAACCTGCATCGAACAGACAAGCAGCCAAACCAGCGGTCAGTTGGGTTTCCACATCTTGCTGAATATATCTATCACACACTTCCCACCAACAACAAAAACCATTGATAACAGAATATAATCGCCCACCTTGCAGCCAGCAGCAGCATGCTTCTCAAGGGCAGAAGCCTGGGACTTGTAAATGGAGACGTTCTTGGTCATCACATCCTTCCTCTCCATACCTTCCTTCCTGGGGAAACCACCAACCATGACTGCAATGTTGACTCCGGTGCAGGCCTCCACAACATCAGTTGTAGCAACAACACCTGAAAATCACATTCCAGTTAGATCTCATATCTCTATATACATACAATATCATTAGAGATTCAATCACAAAAGTCCAGGCAGGAGTCGAGAACTGAAAGTATACCTTTAAGAAGTGGGAAGGCAGCATCAACCAGCTCCATCTTGACACCATTCAGTGCCTCAGCTGCCGGTGGGATATCAAGCATGTGGAGGATCACCGGCTGGTCGGTGCCAAGCATCACTCCCCTAGCGATCATGGGAACAAGAGCATACCCAATTTGACCTGCATATCCCAAAAACACACCATCCGCATCACATTCAAAGACACAGATCTTACAACTTCCTATCCAAAAATCAGATCTCAACGGCCTAAACCCTCAAGCGTCCGATCCACAGTACAGAGACACCATCAACACTAATAGCTACTCTCAACTTCAGTGACCAGAAACAAATCGAGCATATGCAATACTCCAAGTCAACAATCCACTCAAACAGAAGAAGCAACAGTCAGGCACAGAGATCAGAAACTTAAATTCAGTCGGATCGTCAACTATACTACACAGAGACCAACAGTTCGTTCGAGTTGACTACAACTGAAAGCGCTTACTAGACCAAACAACCAGATCAAACGAAAGCCGATCTACAGATCTGGCCGCAAACTGTATGTATATAAACTCAAGACGGATCATCTCGTTCAATTACAAGGGTTTCAGATCAGGTGCAGATTTCTATTCGTACCTGCAGCTCCGGTGACGAGAACGCGGACGGGATCCTTCGCCATTGATGGAGATGAAGAGGAAGAAGCGGGGAGCTGTTTGGTTGAGAGATCGGCGACGGTGAAAATGAGAAAACTAGCAGTGTGTGATCGAGTGATGAAGTGGGGGCGAGGGGGGAATATATATTGCCGAAGTTTGTGATACGTGGCAGATGATAACGCCGGACGGGAAAATGTTTGACGGCTTTTGGCAAAGGGAACGGACGACGTTTGTTGGGCCGTTAGTTATATATCGTTTCGTTTTGGGGTAAGAGAGGGAGAGGATAGGGTGGGGGATGAAAGTGATGTATATGCCGTTGAGATTCCGATTGGAGAAGTGGATGAGATTTAAAGTAGTATATTGGGATTGGTGACTCACGTGACGGCATCTTCCACGCCTGATCAACGGTCCGTCCTGCACCAATGTGGTGATAAACCCCGTTGCAGCCCACTACGAGCCCAGCTACCCGAAGGCCGAAGCCCACCCAATAAATAAGACGTACATGCTCGACAAAGGGCCAGTTGATTAAACATACCTATACTATACACAGAGGTTGCAAATGTTGGCTAACAGACCCCGCCATCGTTGTGGTTCGGGTTACATACATGTGATTCCTGTTGAGTGTTACTATGAGCATCGGCTACCAGAATACGCTTAATGGTTTACTAGTTTTCTTACCCGTTTGTTGGGTAGCGCATTCGTAATTGTGTTTAATATTTTTTTCTAATGTTTTTTTATGATTCGTGTATGTTAAATTATTATACATTGAATTTTTAATCTCACTTACTTGATTTTAGATATTTTTATGGACTTTTATATCTTTCGTTTCTTTAAGAAAATAAAATTTTATTAAATGCGCTCTCGGTACACCTTTCTTTATCTACACATAATATAATACGCCGAAGGGAAAAACGGGAGCCCCATTTCAAATTTTCTGCAACGAGATTGAAAGTAGGAAGGACATTTTGGTCCTCACAATTACCTTTTTTATTAATAAAATAAAATTTTATTAAATACGCTCTCGGTACACCTTTCTTTATCTACACATCCTCCTCCTCCTATATATTATAGCAGTTCTTCAGCAACTTTTTAGTATTTTGAATTCCCTGGCTTCTCCTTCATTCTTGCTAGGGGCAATTGTGTAACTATGCATTAGGTTTGTTCGGGAATATTTCCCTCCTCTTGGACGTGGTGGCTAGGCTAGGGGTGGTTATTTCCCACGAAAGGAAAAGCTGTTCACCGCCGATTTGGGTAAAATCATTCTCTGCATCTTCCCCATTCGCACAACACCAGGAGGAGTAATCAATCAGTGGTCGGTGACTTCCATATCCTCTCTGAATCAGTTTTCAGTGGTCGCCCGAGTTCGACGCTTAATTTGGTTGATTCATCTTCGGCAGTTACTTCCCGGCGTCGCAGGCAGCGTCGAACATAGCGGGAGTAGGGGCAACCGCGAATTCGCCTTCGTTCGGCCATTCTCTATACCTGTCATTCGACCGCTTCCTCTTCATTCCAGTTCAAGTGACTCTCCCCTATCCTCTCCGAATCCCTTTGCTAAGATTTTGCTGGGTTCCTCTTCGCCTACCAAACGTCACCTCTTCCATTCAACTCTAGCTTCGCCCTCGATTCCTGGGTGTGCAAAACAACAGCGATTTCAAGATGGATAAGAGTTTCTGGATTATTGCGTTGTGGCTTCTCTTCTCTCGGGTCTGAAGGAGTGCAGTGGAATTAAGAAAGGCTGCAGGGTCCAAATTGGTTTGTGGGATCGAGGAGTTGAGGTTGTCTGAATCATGCAATCAGCCATTTCATCTTCCCGCCATACTGATTTCAAGATGAGTTTATGGGTTCTGGCCAGGCATATCGATTCCAGGTAATAGATATCGGACGAAGGTAAATGGGTTTTGAAGATATTGATGGACCGGGACAGCATCAATTCGAATCTTAGCGGCGACGAGGAGGACGGAAGCTTCAACCTCAACGATGGCGTTGGTCCAATCCCTTTCCCCGTCGAGAGCTTGCTTCAAACCGCGCCTTGTGGGTTCGTGGTCACGGATGCCTCTCAAGCCTGACCACCCTATCATCTAAGTCAATACCGTATTTGAGATGATTACTAGGTATCGAGCTGAGGAGGTGCTCGGCCCGCAACTGGTACGTCTTTTCTATCCCTTTGTTTTTGCTAATTTGGAGCTGTAATTTTTGGTTTAGTTCCTCGATTTTTCCCTGTTCGTAGGATGAGGTGCGATATTGTTTTCGGGTGTTGGTCAATTTACACATCAGATTTGAAGCAATTTACCCTTTTAGTGTACTAAACTAGGAACATCAACCCCTTTCAGGTAAGGATCTTTCTTATCACTTCTAATCCTCTGGTTGTTTGTGTTCATAATCATTCAACTAATTGGAGAAGCTCATGTCACTCCAGAGCACTGGTTCGTCGTATCATTGCAATGGTTCCTCCTCTCTCTAGATGTATAGCTTTACCAGACTATAATCCTCTAGATTTAAAAGTTCCAGGGCAATGAAAAGCTAGAAAGAGGAGTAATTTAAACGGTACCTTAATTCCCCGATAATGCCCCTGCAATTTCTAGCTTTATTGGAGTAAGTTAATTTTCCATTTCCCTGGATCATTACAACTCCAAACCTGAAAGAGGAGTACTGATAATGCACTACTAATTTCCTGGTAAAGCCTGTTAGAGGACTACTGTTGTTCAATACACATATTTGTCAAACTTAATTTCCTGATAAAGCTATAAAAAGCTACAGAAGAGTAGGGGTGCATTATAGGAGTAATGTGCTATGAAGATATTGTCTCATACACTTCTGTGTTTTACCATTTCTGCATTTCAAGACACTCATCTGTCAATGTAGTTCAATGTTTAATTTTAACGCATATTCGCTTTTAACCTAAGTGAGTAATATAAGATCGTCATCCGTAACCTAAGTGAGTAATATAAGATCGTCATCCGTCAGTTAGTTCAATACCTTGACCATATGACGCTTTTACTTTGCTACCTCCCAAGCCTCGAAGTTATACTTCTAACTTGAATTGTCAAGATTTGCATCTGTTATTTTACCCTTAAGAGCAACCTAATCAGATCTATTAGTTTCTTATAGCAAGCTGGTTTGTGTTTTCAGAATCATATGAAACATTCTTTTTAATGACAGATAAGAGCAACAAGCAAGACCTATGAAGATGAGAAACATTCTGCACAACCTTGCACAGTTGAAGAACTATACTCATTTCGCAATATCAGATGCATCTGGTACTCATTGCAGACCTTATATCTATCTCAGAGGTACTTTTCATTCGCCTCAAACTGGTGCATGCATGGGGTTTTATTAACTACTTTCACAACTTATAACATCATTCGTTTTCTCGACCCTTTTAAGCTTGCACATATATAGGAAGTGATTTATGCTTGAAATAGTACATTGTTACCGCCTCTGATTGCTATTGAAAAGGGGACATAGAAGAAGAGTAATTTATGGCCAGTCATTGTTCCCAAGCTTCTGGCTACACCTGTACTGCGAGCAGCTCCTAGAACCTATACTACTTTGTATTTGCTGCACATGAGCATTGATTATTCACAAGAAATGAAGGATGAGCTTATAGTTGCGACTTTGCTAATCACTTGGGTGGAAAGTGGGGAATAAGCATGAGATCCCATCATTTGGAACTTCCATTTCATTTTCATTTGTTGTTCTTACAGTAGTTAGTTGTGGGTGGTCTCCATAGGTCCAGAACTTCAAATGGAAGCACTGGTGTTCTAATTGCAAGTTAATAAGCATTAGTGCTTATTCAACTCTTTTTTATAATAGTGAAATCATTTTACTAGGAATTACGAAAACTACATATAAAAGAGGAGTTAAAAAATTAACAACAGATAAAAGAGGAGTTAAAAAAATTAACAGGGATTCCCTAACAAGTAGATCAGATCAATTCAATAAGAAGTTCCCCAGGTCAATTTCCTGCTCCTGATCCTGAAAGATAATTTTTATGGATTCACACCTGCTAACTCTTGGAACTTGGTGGAAACCAATGGAGTTACGTATGCTAACTCTTGAAAGGCGCTCTTTGTCCATCGATCTGCACTTGCTTTGTCACAGAACATGATTGAAAGCTCAAGGCATCGATTCTGCTTCAGCACTGGTTCTGTGGTAAGAGTTTCCAGCTGCTAAGCTTGCTGTATGTTTGTGATGAGCGCCGATCTTAGCATACCAACTATGTTTACATTGATTTGTATCAGTTGTACTTCCTCTCCACACTATTGTCAATGCCTAATGATTGGTACAAGATTTCATGGCCTGGATGTCTCACGTCAAGGAAGTAGATGATATGTGTTTGGAACTTGCATCTCTTTGTCAATAATTCTTTTTCCCCTTGCCACCTTATGAATAAGTGGTTCATATACTAGGTTGTTTCGTATAGTTTGCAAAATTAGCTAGATGATAATGATGTCCTTGGAAAATTAGAATCCAAATTGTGTTTTCGGGTTCTCCCGGAAATTTTAAGAGTATTTTGCCTTGGAAATAAATGAACCTTGACGAAGGTTTTTTTATTATGTTTAGTTAATGAACTTGGACAACACGTATCAAAACATATATTCTTCTTATTTCATTCATATATTTCTCTCAATTTTCTTATAACGTATGTTTGCTTATTCTACGACATTTGTTGATTATTTGTAGGGGTGACAAACGGTAAGCCGGTAAACAGTTTACCGTTTTATCGAACCGGTAATCGGCGGTATCGGTAGCCGAGGGTCAAATGGGGAAGCTCGATTTACCGGCACCAGTATCGGTAAATACCGACGGTAATTCGATAATACCGATACCGGACCATTTAAGGCATTAACATATAACATATACTTCATTATTCACAAATATTACATACATGAATGGAAGTAAGTTACTATAGGCCTCAAAAATATTATAAATAAGAGTTAATAATAAATTATTAATTACAAAAATGAAGAAAAAAACTCAGAAAAATCAAAATATTACAACATCAACCCACTACCCAGAAATTCGGTTCGGTAATTTTCTGGTAAACCGAATCGAAAACCGTCCGCAACTACACCTTACGGTAAGTTGGTAAAACCGGTTTGTAACCGTTTATCGGTAATTCGGTAACTGGTAAACCGGTTACAAACCGGTATCGGTAATCGATTCCCACTTACCCACACTCGGCATACCGAAAACCGGTAAAGTCGGTAACCGATTTACCAGTTACCGACCGAATACCACCCCTAATTATTTGGCATCATATTATACAATATGATTCTTGAGCAAATAAAATTGTCTCGGTCATGAAGCGTGG